TCAAAGAAAACAACTATGGAACACGATGAAGGAAATCGGAATAACTCAGAGGTTAATAGAAGCAGTAAAAAACCTTTACAGCAACAACAAGGTAAGAGTTAAAACCGGCAATAAATACTCCAACGAATTTAAGACCACAGAAGGCTTATTGCAGGGATGCTCTACATCTCCGACACTGTTCAATATATTCCTCAAACAAATATTGGAAACGTTGGAAAAGGAAATGTGACGGGATGTGAGTACCAATCTGGGACAACTTCTTGTACACATTAAGCTTTGCAGATGACCAAGTGGTAACGGCTCAAGATGAAGAAGATCTGTGCTATATGCTCCAAAAATTAAAAAACGAATACACAAAAAAATGGACTGGAAATAAACCTAGAAAATACCGAATATTTAACAACAGAGCAAGAACCAGTGGAAATTGACGATAACAGGGAAATTAACGGCACTGATAAATTCAAATATTTAGTATTCATACTCTCAAAAAATGGAACCACCGAGCAAGAGATAACCAGCAGATTAGCACAGACAAGAATATGTATTAAATAAATGAATGGGGTACTGTGGGATAGACAGATTACCAGAAATACAAAGAAGAGAATTTATAACACCTTGGTACGCAGTATAATGACCTATGGAGCAGAGAATTCTATAATAAATAAACGAAACAGGTCCATATTCACAGCAACTGAAATAGAGTTCATGAGAAGAAGCTGCAGAGTAACAAAAATAGATCGCATCAGAAATGAGAAGATTAAACGAACAATGGCAGTAGAACAAGACATACTCAGCTATATCGGAGAAAAACGTTTAATTTGGTATGGACATGTGAGAAGAACAGATCTACAAGGTGGATAGCAAAGATTTCGGATTGGAGCCCAATAGGAAGGAGGAAAAGAGGTAGACCCCAAGATCATGTTTACGGAATATTTCTTGATAGTAATCTCACCCACACAATTTTACATCTAAACATATTCATTGTCATAAAACTGTCACCTTCTTAAAACAATTACTCAATAAATAACACACATTTCAAAAATATATCTCTCGAATAAGTATAAATAGCTTTTAATAACACAATGATATATTACATTACTTTCATTTAACAAACAATCACACACATATCTCTTCTTCATTTGATCAAATCTATCTCCTCAAGAACTTCCCGTTTACTGTCAAACAACTGCAATAACAGAATTGAGTTCTCCATTCAACAATATATAGTAGTTTCAACCATGTTCTACCATCCATCAATTAATAGAGTACCGGCATGTAAGTAATGTTTATTTTATTTATTTATTTGCTCATTTGTTAATTTATTACAATCGAAGAGACTATTTTATAACAATTTGTGGGCCTTACCTTGTCTGTTTAAACTTTTTAAAATTTTATACCTTTTATTCAACTTACTCATTTAAATAAAACCACAGACATGTAATATTGGCATAATTATTGTAATTTACAACATCTACTTTGTTTATCGTTATTGGACAACACCCTAATATGGGTTTTTATTATTTCAGCATTTGTTTAACTTTGTATCGAGACCTGAGGATGCTTTGCATATTGTAGAAAGCGAAACCGGTCGTCAGATAGTTAAATTAAATTGATTGTGAGTAAGTCTTATTTATTATTTCTTTACCTATTTGAAATGAACTCACACAAGCAACACATTCATGATGTGTATAAAGTGTTTGAATTCTTTTACTAAGATGAATTACAACTGCTGCACCATGGCCAAATTAGTTTTGTAAAGTTTGGTCAATTTCGGTCTTTTTTCCCTGATACAAAATAAAATCATATATCAGTCCACTTTCTCCACACAGTAGAAACAGTTTTATTCCCCATGGATTAGGCTTACTTTTTATATATTGTTTCACTGATAATTTTCCCTTGAAGGGACATATCTGTTCGTCGACACATAACTTCTGCTCATGTTCTAATTCTCGGCATCTTTTCAAAACGGCATCAAAAATTGGTCGAACTTTATAAAAAGTATCTGTATTATCAAGATCTTTTTCTAAGTTATTTACTATGTGTAAATATGTTCTGAGTTTAAGAATCTGTTTCTGGACATACTGTTTATAAAAGTGCTCATACCTATAGCATTATCCCAATATAAATGTATTCTAGGCAGTTTCAAACATCCCATTATGATGTGTAAACCTATAAGGATCTCAATTTCTTTTGAATTCGTGTGTGCAAAATTAAAATCGTTACATTGTTGGGCATATAGATTTGTTTTCTCTGCAACATTTTCGAATAAAGCTGCCAGGATATATCTTGAGAAATATTCAATAGGCAACTTTACTTCTGTATCGCTACGTTTGGTCCAATTTTGCATTGCTAGTGGGGCAGTTTGTCTTTCTGTCCATTGAATTTGGTTTTTAGTAGGTAAATAAGCAAAAGTATTTTCATTATTTCTGTTGATAGTATCTATTACACCTATGTCGTCGAATATTTCATCTTCTCGAACCTCATCTTCGTTATTGTCATCTTGTGGATCAATTGCGGCAACTATATCTTCAATGCGGGTTTCCACATTTTCTGCTTCTTCTAATAGATCTTCATTAACGCTTCACCTTCGGACAAATCGGAGAAATCCGAAAAGTCCCCGTTGTCTAATTTCTGCATTAAATTTTCCACATATTTGTCAACTCTCACGTCTCGCATAAAAATCGATGCTTTTGAGTTTCTTAAGCCTGCAAAGAAAAATTTTGTTGTAACTTTTGCCTGTCATCAACACACATTTGATTCGAATCCAAAATAGCCTCTGAATACAGTTGTATACGATTGTGTACACAAACAACTAACTGAAATTTACCTTCCAGTACAATTGTATACGATCGTGTACATAATGTTTTATACAGTTTTTTTCAAAAACCTTTACCACACAACGATGAGATTACTATCAAGAAATATTCCGTAAACATTCATAAAACCATGCAGTATAATAAAACAGCAACAACGTAACTGTATAAAAAAATATATAAATGAAAGGTACTCACCTGATCTACAACTTCTGTTGGTTTGAAATCCATGTACACGATTGTGTACACCAGTAGCGAAAGGGTTAATTTGAAATTTAATTATGATTATAAACAATAAAGTAAAAGCAATAAAAATAGATGAAAACAAAGGTTTAACTTGCATAACAATAACTTAGCCATTTATAAAACAATAACTAAAAAGGAAAATACTTACTTTAAAACTACTACTGCTTGAACAAGTTAATGCCACAGTCTGCTGTTTATTATAAAATAATCTATAATAAATAATATTTTCACTGATTATAAAAGTTGAAAATAATTAATTATTCATTCAATAGTTTTAAATATTACTTACAATTTTCAATCAAAAAGTAATTAAATACGTTTAGTTAAAACTTTTTTGTTCAAAATACACAAAATATTTTAATTAAAGAAGTATAAGTATATTGCTTTCTAAAGCCACTACATTAAGACTGAGGAAATTATGGAGCGTGGAGCTTAATCAGTTTCCCCTCCACTTTCCTATGTCGATCTTTCGAAAGTATCTCCGTTTCGAAAAGCTGTCAGTTTCGAAAAATTGGATGAATTTTATTTATAGCTATTAGTTTCAATATAAAGTTTAAATTTTTTTCAAAATTTGTGCAAATTTTATTTTTTAATGTTTATAAACAATAGAGATATGATTTAAAAAAATAGTCGCTAACTTCGTTCCTGTTAGTAATAGGTTTATTTTTTTAAACGTGAGTTTTTTTACCAGCTATTCAATGGTTGTACGTACAAGTCTGTAGCTTAAAAAATATAGAAGTTATTACAATTGTTTATAAGTAAAAAACATACCCCTTTTTCCAACGTTTCTTTTGTAAATAATTTTAATGAAAACGCAATATGCATTTAACTTCTGAGATAGTTTAACTTTAAAGAATCCTATGAAATTTGCTAAATGTGTCTAGCATCATGCATATAGCATAGGGTAAGTTCAATGGTTTAAATAATTATTAGCCTCAGGGATAAACAAATTAAATAACTTTTAAACTATCAATAGGGGAGAAATTTCGCAAAAATTTAAAGGACGACAAATATTTATTTGTATTAATAACATTTTATTTTGTTAATAAAAAAATTAATAAAATTTATAAATTAGTGCAAAAAAACTGCTTTTTTGGAAATATCTTCGTAAATTATTTATCAATTTTAATTAAAAAAAAGCGGAAAATATAGATATTCTTGATATAAAAAAATTATATAAATATTGTTTTTTTAAAATATAAGAGAAAAAACTTATAGAAAAAAAATCAAATTGTGATCATAAATTATTGTTTAAAAAAAGGCAAGGTAAAAATAGGAAAATCTTTTCATCTATTCGTTATCTAGTAACCCCCACCTATGTCTTAAAAGCTTCAGATATCTGCGAAAAATTTTGCCGTGAAATCGATGATTTTTGCATATCCAGACTGGGCTGTTTCGTTGGCACAATACATTACCCGTATCTCCAAACTTTTTAACAACCTTAAAAATTACAGCATTACTTGGAGAACGTTTAATAAACCGTTGTGTCAATTGATCACATACGTATTGCACACTTGCACTATTACGACGGCCGATTCCGTATGAGCGAAAATAATGCTCTACAAGAAACACTTTCTCCTCTGTACTTAACACCATTTTTAACAATTGGTCCTTAATAATTAATTATTTAAGGATTACTTGACAGGTCTATACTAGTTAATTTGAATATGACAGCGCGCACAAAGAGACATCTATGTTTCAGTACTGTTTATTTCTAGCGTAACTGTATATTGGCATAACCTTGAACTACCAGACCTTGCAAACCGGTACACTAGAGAATTGTACCAAAAGGAGAATAATTTTTCGATCTAATGTTTTCTGTAAACTTCTTAAGCCTGCTAAATATGAGATATAGCGACGGTACAGTTTAATTTCATTTATTCTTGTTCTCAATAATTACAAAAAAATGTCCTAAAAACAAATTAAAAACCGTGTCCTTACCTTGTGGTAATTTGTTAAGGTTGGGGACCAAACTTCTGGTCTCAGCTTTTTCCAAAGAATGGCGAAGCTAAAAACAAAATATAATGTATGAGAAAACTGTGATACTTATATAATATACACCTATTACTCTAGATTGACCTAATCCTCTGTCCAGTAACTTATTTGTCAAATTGCTCTTACAAATTCGTTCCCTCTTATTTTCCAAGCGTTCGCAAGGGAAAAGCCTAAAATTAAAATATAAATTAATGAGTCATCAAAAAATGTGGTAATTAAAGTAAACCTTGAAATAGGCATACCTTCTTTTTTCTTTTGGATCGCTAGTTACACAAGAAATTAAATCATTGAAAATAAATGTAAATAAGTACTACAGTTGATTGAATAATTCAATCAACGATACTACGTAATCTAACTAGTATATACCTGATTATCTTATGATACCTGATGTTTTAACTTAGTCATTAAAAGAACGATTATGGCCTAGAGAAGGTGAAGTGCGTACACATAATCTGTTTTTCTATTATTAAAAACCTTTTTGTGCTGTCCGTTTGTTAAAAGTTCTACGAGTTTGACCGATGTAAGTTTTTGGGCAGTCACGTTTATCATAGTCAAATTTGAATTTTTTTAAATTAGAAATTAAGGAATCGTGCGAAGAAAAAATAAATGTGCCGTAATATTTATTTGCCTATTTGCCTGAATTATAAAATTTATATAAAACTTTTCAAATACCGTATATAGGGTTAAATTTTTTCTATGAATCCAACGAATTAATTTTTTAAAACCAGGCCTGATTTTTTTTTTTCAGTTTGAATAAATCAAACTGGAAAAAATATCAGGCCCAGTTTGTTTCTTCAATGTTAATGTAAAGGTATGTTAAAAAAAATAATTATGAAAGAAAAGTTACATTTTGTTACATCTATGGTTCACTTTGATAAATTTTTATTTCATAGTCAAATTTGATTTTTTAATTAAAAATTAAGCAATTGTGTGAGGAAAAAGAAGTATGCCTTTTTAATTGCCTATTTGTTTTACTCATAAAATTCTTATTAGAGTTTTCACAAACCCTAAACAGGGTGAAATTTTCTCTATGAACAAAGCGAACTAATTTTTTAAAACTGGGCCTGATTTTTTTCCTGTATGAATGAATCAACAAGAATTAACCACTGAAGTGTTTTGTAGAACATGACACTACACTCCATGGATATTCATAGAGGCGATTGAAATTCAAAAACCCGATTCAATATTGATAGGCCGAAGGAGAGTTCACAAATGAGAATATTAGAATTGCATTAATAAATGTTAAAAAGGGCTTACTATTCTAAAGACCGTTATTAGCATATACCAGATCAATTTTTCAATTTTAGACTATGGAAGTTTTCTTTATGAATCGGCGACAATATCTAGTTTGATTAAATTGAATCGAATACAATACAAAGCTTTAAGGTTAATTCTAGGAGCCCTAAAATTTACTCCTACACTATCCCTTTTTGCAGAATTTAATTAGCCACCTTTACATTAAAGACGTCTATTTTTAACAAAAAAAAAATATTCTTACATGTCAGTTTAATAATTACAACAGCTTGTTACAAAAAATATCTTGTCTTTTTGTTAAAAATCTTGCTCACGGATGGTAGGCAATTAAAAACTATCCCACTCTTCCTTTTTAATATGCCAATCTATCACATTTTTAATTCAATGGAAAAGAGATTCCATTCTTTTGCTCTAATTATGACATATATGAAAATAAACCTATCGTAGTACTGTCTTTAATTGTTTACGATACAGTAGTACAAAATAAGCTGAAAGACTTTTTTAAAATTTATACCGACGGCTCAAAATAGTCGGCTGTACCATTTACGTACAGAGTAAATATTCTTTAATATTTTCAGTACAAATTGAAATCAGATTCAGTCTGTCCTCCTCATATTAAGTCATTTTTCTAAACATATATAAATCAACAGACTAATTTTAGACACTGTATGGGTAAAATGTCACTCCAATATTCCAGACAATGACAAAGTAGGCCATTTGACGCTACATTAGAATACGAGTTACCCAAATGGGATTTAATAACAGCTAGAAAGAAACACGTTAACTTAATTGGGAAATTGAGTGGCAATCCTTTACTAATAGTAGCAAAAATACATACTGTAATATATATCCAACTCTTCTATCTACTTCCCCAAATGAGAGGAACTCGATCTCTTGGATGGAGTATATAAATAAAATACATACCTATATTCAATAAAACTTTGAGACACAGATATATGTGAATGTGACGGCAGTTTTGATGACCTGAACCACTGGATGTTTCACTGTCGGGTATAATCAAGAAGCAATACAATTTTTATTTCAAGCGATCTTCCAACAAGAAATTATACTACCGTAGAGCGTTGTTTCTCTCCTTTATTCAGAAAGTATATACTTCAGAAAGTATAAAATTAGGCGATTTTCAGGTCAACCAGTCAGTTATTTCGACCTATATATATTTGGTCATGTAAGAAATAACTTGCCTTTTTCAAGGCAATACATCGAAGACAACAAACCTGATGTTTATTTCGACAACTATCATGTAAGATATTTGTCATGTAAGAAATCTCTCGTCTTTATTAAGACGAGCCATCAGGAAACAAAACATTTTGAAGTCCATACCCTGAAAATGGACAAAAGTAGAGGAGCTCACGATGTTTTCGAAGCCCCTCTACAGAGCACACGGTGGTACAGAAGGTGGCAAGACCCCTTCCATTTACCCCGAGGTGACACTAAATTAAACCCCAAAAATCCCCAGGATATAACCTAATTACCGTACGAATATTGAAGAGATAACTAAGAAAGCCCTACTTTATCTTACACAACTGTATAACGCCGTATTAAGAAAAGGACATTTTGCCTCTAGTTTGGAAATGTTCCCAAAGAATATTAATTTCAAAACCCGGATAATCCTTGGAGAAAAAAAAGGCCTGCAGACCTTTTTATTTAAGGAATTTGTAATCTTGGGAGCGCTCCTTAACACTGAAAGTAATACTATCGCAGAATTTACACGGCCAATGGATGCTATTTTTGGCTCAATCCCCTCCTTAAATCCACAATTATTACGAAAAATACAAAAATTAAACTTTACAAAACAATAATACGCCCAGTCCTATCATATGGTTCAGAGACCATATGAGTTCAGAGTTCTAACAAAGAATAATGAAAACATGTTAGGATGTTTCGAAAGAAAAGTACTAAGGCGAATCTATGGAGCAGTGAATGACAATAAAGTGTGGAGAAGACGATACCACTTCAAACTTTACAGAATATACCAGGAACCTGATATTGTAAAACATATTAAGATAGGACGTCTGAGGTGGATAGGGCTTGTAATGCAGATGGAACGAAATGACCCAGCTAGAAAAACGCTCCTTGATAAACCCATTAGTCAGAGAAGAAGAGGAAGACCCAGAACAAGGTTTCTTGATAACATCGATGAATACATGAGACATATGGAAATACGTGCTTGGCGGAGAAAGGCTATGAATAGGGACGACTGGAGAGAAATTCTTGAGGAGGCTAGGACCCACGCGGAGTTGTAATGTCAGAACGATGATGATGACCTTTTTATTAGCCTGCTCTTGACCTATTTCAAATACTGCAAAAACTGCTGTTATCCAGAATAGAGCCAATTTTAATTGGCAAACAAATAATACCTCATCACCAGTTTGGCTTTAGGTCACAGCACGCTACCACTAAACAAAATTCACTGGGTTTACCAACAAATACGCCAATCACGGGAAAACAGAAAAAATTGCTCTAAAATTTTCTTAGACATATCTCAGGCGTTTGATAAAGTCTGGCATAATAGCCTTTTATACAAAACGAAAAATCCCTTCCCAACAACTACTTCCAAATCCTAAGGCCCCACCTGTGAGACCGCCATTGCCTTAATGAGTATACCAGGCTATACCTAGCTAATTATGGCTGGAGTTCTCCAAGGCGGTGTTCTCGAATTAGTGCTATACCTGATATTCTCTGTGGACTTATAAACATCACCAGAAGTCACAACAGCAACTTATACAGATAACACTGCAATAATCTCTTAGCAAGAGCAACCGTGTCAGTCATAGCTTTCGTGGAGGAGGAGCTCTAAACTGAGTAGGGGTTCTTCTGTACTTCACGGAAGACAGACTGGGCGGAGGATATCCTCAACCTCGACCCGGCACGTCCCATATGGCTGATAGGGAAAGTTCCTGCAGATATGCAGGACAGATACGAATAAGGCATTGCCAAATAAGTACCCGCGGATCAACTGTGGATATGACATTAGGCAGCAGTAATGTCATTACTGGATTAAGGCTATGGGAAGTAAAAATTCTGTAGGCTTAATTCCAGATACTCACAGGCGTTACTCACATTATGAGTTAAGCGGCTGTGATACTGCGACAACAGCAGCGTCTGACCCAGAGTGGGCGGCTGCAAACAGCGTCTGTTCCCAGAGTGGGCGGCTGAAACACACTTACCAACCCGTCTGGCCAGCGTGGTGAGTTCACGGCCAATCTACCCCCCTCTTATGACAGATACACGTAAGAATTGGCCCTCAGTCCCCAGCAGCTCCGGAGTCACCTTCCAAGGCAATGGTAGGATCGAGGAAAGAGCAGAGGGTGCTAAAAATCCCTGGGTTTTAGAAGATTGCCAGAAAAAACGAAAACAAGCAACGAAACTGGATATTGCGACTTATAATGTCAGATCACTGATGAGAGACGAAAAGCTAGCCGAACTGGAAGAAGAAGTAAAAAAGATGAAATGGGATATATTAGAATTAAGTGAGATAAAAAGAAAAGGGGAAGCCTGTATGAAGTTGGAATCCGGGAATGTACTATACTATAAAGGAACTGAAGAAGAATCATTAGCTGGTGTCGGTTTTCTTATTTCTAATCAGCATGTCCATAAGATTAGACAATATATTGGAATTTCAGAAAGGATTGCGGCTCTAATAATGGACATAAATAAAAATATAAGTTTAAAGATCATACAAATTTACGCCCCTACATCATCACATACGGATGAAGAAGTGGATATATTCTACGAATCATTGACACAAACAGTGAACAAATACAAAAGCACCTACACAATCATTATAGGCGACTTCAATGCCAAATTAGGGAGAAAACTAGAAGAATCAGAAAATAAAATCGGCAACTTTGGATATGGAACACGAAACGAAAGAGGAGAAACATTAATGAATTATATGGAAACGAACGGTCTATATGCGATGAATACCTTTTTCAATAAAAAACCACAGAGAAAATGGACGTGGGTCGCGCCCAATGGTTTAACAAAAAATGAGATTGATTACATCCTATCCAAAGAAAAGAGCATAGTACAAGACGTTACGGTCATAAACATGATTTCCGTAGGAAGTGATCACAGAATTGTTAGAGCCAAAATCAAAATTAACTCCACAACAGACAGACAAAAATTTAAACCATCTAAAAAGAGATAGATACAGAACTTCTTAAAGAACGCAAAGAACAATACATAAACCAGCTAAAAAGAAGTGACATATCACAGCTAAAGGGTCTGCAACTAGACGAATTAAACGATAAAATAACGACAGAACTACTAGAAGCAGGCCTGAAGATTGCTAATAAACAAAAGCGAAAACAACAAAAAATTAGCGCTAAATCACAAGATATGCTAAAAAAACGACGACAACTACTGAACGATAACAAAAGAAATACAGTGGACTATACCGAACTGAATAAAACCATAAGAAAACAGATAAAGGAAGATTTAAAGAAATACCAAGAAGACCGCATTAAGAAAATCATAGAGAAGAACAAAAGTTTAAAAACAATGAAGACAAATATAGGAAAAAGAAAACTAATCATGCTTAAAGCTGAGAACAATGAAGAAAGAGATCTAGGAGAAATAGTAAAAATCACAGAAAGATATTACACAGACCTATACAGTTCTAAAAATGACCCACCACTATCATCTAAACAGAATCTCACGAGAAAAATACAAAATGTTGGCTCAGAGGTATTACCAGAAATAACTGAAGATGAAATCGAAAAATCCATAAACGACATGAATAGAAATAAAGCGGCCGGTGAGGACAAAATACTAGCGGAACTGCTAAAAGAAGGAGGAGACACGATAAAAAAAATGCTAAAAATACTGTTCAACAAATGTCTGTTTGAAGGTAAAATACCCAAACAATGGAGAAATGCCAACACAATCTTAATACATAAGAAAGGAGACCGAACAGACCTAAACAACTACCGTCCTATTTCCCTTTTGTCACAAGTATATAAAACCTTCACAAGAATAATAAACAACCGACTAACCTATAAACTTGATAACTACCAACCAGTGGAACAGGCCGGATTCAGAAAAGGATACAGCACAATCGACCATCTACATACGCTTAAAATCTTAATTAATAAAACCAATGAATACAACCCGCTGTACTTAGCATTCGTAGATTATGAAAAGGCTTTCGACAGCATTGAACACTGGGCGGTTGAAGAAGCTCTGGTCAATAGTAGAATAGATTCAAGATACCGACAATTGATACATGATATTTACCAAAACGCAACCATGACCGTAATTCTGGACGACAAATTAATAACGTATAATATAAAAGTTAAACGAGGAGTCCGACAAGGCGATATAATTTCACCTAAACTGTTTACCTTGACCCTCGAAGACATAATAAAATCAACAGATTGGGAAAACAGAGGAATATGTATTAACGGAAAATACCTAAATCACCTTAGATATGCGGATGACATACTCCTGATCTCCTCGGAATGACAAGAACTGGAATTAATGCTGAATGAACTTCATGAAAAATCACTGCAAAAAGGCCTAAAAATTAACTTCAACAAAACAAAAGTAAGGACAAACACGGAAGACCAAGAGGCAATAAAAATAAAAACAGAAAAAATAGAACAGGTAAATGAGTATATCTATCTAGGACAAGCAATCAGAGCTAATAGAGAAAATCAAACAGCCGAAATATCGAGACGAGTAAGAATGGGATGGGCAGCGTTCGGAAAAACTTTCTTACGTTCTAAAAAATCAAACAATCCCTCTATACTTACGAAGCAAGGTATATAACTCCTGTATCATACCGGTGCTCACCTACGGAGCACAGACATGGACATTTACACAGGCCAATTTGGATAGGATAAGGAAGGCACAAAGAGCGATGGAGAGACAAATTTTGGGTGTATCACTTAGAGATAGAAAACGTAACCAGTGGATCAGAACCAGAACAAAGACAGTGGACGCGATAGAACAAGCAGCAAAACTGAAATGGAAATGGGCTGGACACAATGAACGTCTCCAAGACAGACGATGGAACAATGCCATTGGAAAGTGGCATCCATACAATGCAAAGAGATCAAGAGGCAGACCACAGATGAGGTGGAAAGATGACATCAGGAAACAAGGAGGTCCCACATGGCAGAGAACAGCTCAAGATAGGGAAAGATGGAGAGAACTGGGGGAGACCTATATCCAACAATGGAAGGATAGAGAATAGGTTCAAAAAAAAATCTCTTAGCAAGACCTAGTCGCAGCATTACACAGAGTACAGGCTAACCTAAATACAATACAAACTTGGATAAAAATATGGCGTCTATGAGCCAACGAGAGCAAATTTGCGCAGGTAACACTTACAAACCGCAAGGAAACTTGCTCTCCAGTATCGTTAAACGGTCAACCTCTGCCACAGCAACTCAGAAAACTATATTGATTAATAGGCTGGAAGTCAAAACTGTCAATCGATAACAAGATTGTAACATACAAAGTTACTTTAAAATCCATTTGGAGCTATGAAATTGAGCTCTGGGGAACAGCAGCAAGATCTAATATTAATATTTTTTAAAGATTCCCATCGAAAGTCTTTCGAATTATAACTAATGCTCAACGCTACGTTTCAAATAAGATCATCGCATGAGACCTCAAAATGACAAATGTTAACAAAGAATTCACCAAACTCTGCCAGCAATATGTTCAGAGTCTAATAGACCACCCCAATAATCTAGCACAAAATTTAATCGCACAACCAATCGGACGACCTCTCAAACGAAAGACCCCAGCTGACCTGTTAACTATAAACTCGTCGCAGAAACCCAATATAATCTAGAAGCAGAAGTCCCAAACCCTAAGACATACGTGACACTATTCTAGTGCCAAGAATATAGGAAGTTGTCAATGGACAATTTTCTACAATATAGTTTTACTTTAATAATATTTATATTGTTAAATATTGTCAGACAATTTACTTATTGTCATTATATTAAATTGTAAATATATTGGTATGTTAAATAAGAAAAATAACCACGATATATACCACGACCAATAAGAGGACAATTCAAAACAGAGGGCGTGGATTTGCGTGCAACACACAGAAGAATATAGAAGGAAATTAATTCTCCAAGTGCGTGAGAGTATAAAATAGATGCTCAACATATTAAAATATTGATATACGTTTACCACAACAACGTTTAGTATAACGTTTATAGTTACATGTGTGCGAATTTTCTTTGATCTTAAACTATTTTTACTTCATTATCAATTTTAACTAGTGAAATTATCGTAAGATATTCGATTTTTGAACCTCCTTTTTGGAATTTAAAAACTAATGTATTGTTTTTAACTTTTTATGCTTTAAGTTGTAACATTATAGTGATTCACTTTAGTCCAATTTACGATATTATTAATATCTTTTAAATCTCATTTATTGTGTGTGCCGAAAGGATTTTAATTTTAAGTTGTTAAGGAGAAAACAGTTACCTACCTTAAATTTAGCAAATCAAGATTCTCGAAACAAAACTTATCTCTCTCCTCAGAAAAAATTAAATCGTCCTAAAACGTCAAAATTATTTATTCGTTATCACTTATTACACATAAAAAATTAAGTTTTTTGTTACCTGCTCGCTCTTTGGAAAACTCTTTACCATGATATTTTTAACCAGAAACTAAAATTTTTGTCAGTTTTTCCTTCTAAAAACACAATATTTCGCTCTGACTTTTTCAAAAAATGTATCATAAAACAACAGAAAATAGTTGTCAAACATGTCACAAATTATGGGTTTAGTGGCGACTCGCCTGAGATTTTGTTGAACTATTGGCTGAATAAATACATATTTATTTCCTAACTTAAAACCCAATATCATTATCAATCAAACTAAGTTAAACACATCTATATGGATAATATAAATTCTTGTAATTTTTTTTTGTGTTAATTTAAAAAAAATGTAGATATAAATACTATACATTTTATATTATATTCGCAAAGTCTAATACGGACACACGGATAAAGATCAATAATTGCACTGAATACATAGAAAGATAGAAAAGCGCTGTCTAGAAAAACTACCAGCCGAAATTCTTAAACTTAATGAAGAATCATAAATTAATGCTTTGGTAGATTTGCTCAACAACGATTATAAATCAGTATTCATACCATAAAAATGGTAACCTTAAAAGTTACCTTCTTCTTCTTCCTCTTTATAAGTATTCTGCTCGTTCATTTGTGGATTGACACCTCTCTGGAAGGTTATCACTATCTTTTGCGCGGTCGTCAGATACTTTTACCGATTGGTGATTTTCGTTTAATTATTTATTTAATAATTCTTCTACAAGAGTTACTAAAACAACATTTACCATAGTTCATTAAATTGCCTCAGATTTCCCATCCCTTGATGTACGTTCTACAATTATTAATGCAGGACTCTCTAATCATGAAGCAGTATATACCAAGTTTAACACTCCTTAACAAATAAACCTCGAAAAAGCAACCTTTAGGTAAGATTTATTTAGACCAGAACTTTCGCAAATTCCAAAATTTGTGCTTGACTTCTGGATGGCACTTTTCCTCTGTGAACGTGGACTATCAATTCAGTGATTTTTTAGATAAACTTGTCTGTATTTTCAATAAGGCATTTTCTTTAATTACAATTAAGTCAAAATATCACAAACCATGGACTACTAAAGGTATCCGCATATCAGCCAAGAATATATGTTTACAACTGTACATCAAGAAATTTACTACCAATGTCTTTGTCACTAAATATATCTCCAAGTCCAAGTACAAAAGGAACCTATCTAAAACTTATCAAAACATTAAAAAAAAATGTACTATGAGAATCATCTGGGAAGCTCTAAAAATGTTGCAAGGAAACTTGGTCCATAATAAACATATATAAATCAAACATATCAAACATCAAACATTAAAAACATATATAAATAAAATCTTCGAATTACAACTAACACAGCTCAAACATTTTCTCTTCCGAACCCTGAAAATCTAAATAAATACTTCATTAATGTGAGTAAAAATATAACGTCAGCTATTTTGCCGCAACAAGATCCTATTTCCTATCTCCCCTATTCAAAAAAGGTCTCGAATTCTTTCTTTATAAGACCAGTTGATAAATCTGAATTTATTCAAACAATCAGTAGTATCAAAAACAAATCTTTCTGTAGTACTGATGGTGATGGCCTATTCATAAAATTTTTCTTAAATCCCCCAAATAATGTGTTGGAAGTCCTGGTCTCACTAATTAACAATAATTGCTTTACAAAAGGTATATATCCAGAGTGCCTAACGACAGCCATTATTATTCCTCTTTTGGCCCTATCCAAAATTATTGAGAGAATTATAAAAGCCCGACTTATGTCCTTTTTCGTTGAAAACGACATTTTATTACGAAGAAAGTTCGGCTTTGTATCTAATAAATATATCAGCGATGCTATGTTTTCTAAACTATATGAGGTCTATCAAGCACTAAACAATAATCTTTATACTTCCACTGTTTTTTGTAACTATGCCAAAGCTTTTGATTGTGTAAATCACGACATTTTGATAAAAAACTACATTTCTAAGGAATAGGAAGCAACTAGTTAGAGCAAATGATACTGTCACAATGTCACAAAAGCATTGTATGTGAAGTACTACAAGGTTCAGTACTGGGTCGTCTACTTTTTCTTATCTTTATAAATGACATCACTAACTTAAAAATCGATAGAAAGATTTTTGTTTTGCCGATAATACCAGTATTATCTGGAGGAACTCTAATATTGCAACTCTTCATGCAATTATAACTTTTGATCTACTTAAAATAAAAACCTGGTCCGACTCTAATTTACTCTCTTTTTCAGGGAGATGAGACAGTAGCGTTATCCTATAACGAAGCTCTTCAGCCTTTGCTTCTTAATAACTCAGTATTGTTGAAAATCCACTAGGAAACTAAGTTCCTGTAGCTGGCTGTATACCATATATCACAAAAAATTTATTTAAAATCCTTTATAAAAGGTATATAATAAAATGCCCAAACGGGCTATCACAAAGATATTGCAAAACGTTTTCGGATTAATAAATCCATCATCAGTGCAAACGAGGTATACATGCTATGAGCCACCAAAATATATGGGTCCAAACCCTTTAAATGATATAAATTTAAATTTGATTTACATTATATGTTGTTACAAATTATGATGCTTAAGTTACCGTTGGAATTGGTAACATGGCGACGTATGACCCTACATAGGTAAAATGGTCCTGAGACGAAGTGTCTTCGAGGACCTGTTGATAACAACTGTTATCAACAGGTAATAGCAACTGTTATCAACAGGTCCTCGAAGACACTTCGTCTCAGGACCATTTTACCTATGTAGGGTCATACGTCGCCATGTTACCAATTCCAACGGTAACTTAAACATCATAATTTGTAACAACATATAATGTAAATCAAATGTAAATTTATATCATTTAAAGGGTTTGGACCCATATATTTTGGTGGCTCATAGCATGTATACCTCGTTTGCACTGATGATGGATTTATTAATCCGAAAACGTTTTGCAATATCTTTGTGATAGCCCGTTTGGGCATTTTATTATATACCTTTTATAAAGGATTTTAAATAAATTTTTTCAGTATTGTTGATTCTATAAAATTTTTTGGTATTTTTATAGACAGCAACCTTATATCGTGACCAAACTGGTAAGGTAGCGAATGTGCAAAATTGACGTATCTGAGCTAATAGACTAAGTAGATGTGGCATGTCAAGATGTATATTCGGGTAATACAGCGAATGTGCAGGTCCAATATTTACGTTAAATCTTATTATTTTTAGTTTAACGAATCTTCACCTACTTCAATATTCACAACGCTAAACAGTCGAATTTGAATATTCGGTAGGTAAAGTAGCGAATGTGCCACATTCGCACTTTTACCAAAATGTAATACAACCGTTACAGATCGTCAAAATAACGAAAGTGGCATATTATTTTGGAATTTTGATTGGAATTGGAACTTACATGGTACAGTGAGACTTCTCAATCTCAGTACTGTAACTTTAATATTGTGGCAAGTCGAATGTATATTTATTATTTATTTGCAGCAACCTAATGATAATTTTGGTCTTGAAATACTGGCTAAAGCAGTAATTCCAGTGATAGGCCTACTATAAATTATATCCGCAACCCAACACAAAATTAGAATCCTTTATCGCCAAAAAAGCGAAAAGTATCAAAAATGGTGTTTATACAAGACAGGAGGAAGCATCCAAGAAAATAAAAGGTCTTGAATATTGAACCGTAAAAGGAAAATTAATTAATGCAAGGTTCTTAAAATAACCAAGATGCTCTGGCCGAGTCAAGCATAAATGTTTAACTAATGTACCTGAATCTGAGTGAGAAAAAATCTATAATAGTTTCTATAAATTACCATCCCTATTAAAACAACAGTTTCTTATAAAACATTTTACTGTGCAACCAAAATTAAGAAAAGTGACAAAAGCAGTGGAGAGCTACGTAAAGCTACGTAGAGCTTACACAAAAAAATACACTTTTTCCACTAAAAATTGCGTTGATGTGTGTAGAATATTTTATCTCGATACTTTAAAATAAATATTTCAGAGTTACTTATAAGAGGGGCTCTTAAAAGGTTAACTCTCGTGGAATTCTCCTATCTGACCTACGAGGGAAGGAAGACACACCAAATAAAGTAAACCCTATAAATGAAAATTTCATAAGAGATCACAATTCATCGTTCCCAAGAATGGAACCACACTATGCAAGGAAGAAATCAGAATACCAATATTTAGCAGTGACTTAAATGTAACAGTTATGCCCAACTTGTATAAAGAAAAGTGCAGTGAAGAAAACAAAAATACAGTATCTTTAGGAAAGTACAGACGAATTTTTCGTGAGTACAAACTGAAATTTCACAAACCTGCCAAAGATAATTGTAAGAAATCTATTGCTCATGAAGAGCAAAAACGAAATACAAACTATGATGATACTCTCTAAACTAAGCACATTAAACGCCAGGAACCAACACGAATATTAGAGATCAAGACAAAGAGGATACAAAGGACCAAAAAAGTGTTTTGGCAATACAATCAGATCTCCAAGCTGTTCTGAGCAGTGAACACACCAAAAGGAGCTAGTGGACCATTCTTCTACGTCAGAAAGTTGGCTGTATGCAACCTTATTATTTACAATCTTAAAGATGCCAGTGTTACCTGTTGTGTCTGACCCTGACAGTGGCAATAAAAAATATAACAACTTACCCTTCAAAAACGCTATTTGGTTTAAGTACCTTTTAACTCATTCAGATCTGCTTAGTCTATTAGCTCAGATACGTCAATTTTGCACATTCGCTACCTTACCAGTTTGGTTACGATATAAGGTTGCTGTCTATAAAAATACCAAAAAGTTTTATAGAATCAACGATACTGAGTTATTAAGAAGCAAAGGCTGAAGAGCTTCTTTATAGGATAACGCTACTGTCTCATCTCCCTGAAAAGAGAGTAAATTAGAGTCGGACCAGGTTTTTATTTTAAGTAGATCAGAAGTTATAATTGCATGAAGAGCTGCAATATTAGAGTTCCTCCAGAAAACAAAAATTGTTCTATCGATTTTTAAGTTAGTGATGTCATTTATAAAGATAAA